AAATACATTTTCTAATCTATGTTTATAATAAACTAATAGTCTAATGCATTAGTTGTAATTTCCTAATATTTCAGCATGATTATAAAATAGTCCACTAGTATTGTCTTAATTTGCATAACAAAAATATTTGTACTGAATTAAACATTTAAAATCGTTTATACATGTCAGTTCCTAATGTAGATAACAGTTTCTTCTGCAAAAGTTAATCATTCATGAACTAAGATGTAGTTATAAGAAATAGACACTTTGATCAAAAAGAAGAAAAAAGAAAAAGAAATAGACACAAGCATATATATATATTGAGAATAATTTCTAATATAACACAAATTAAAACTATTTTTAAATTAAAGCATTTAAAATGGTTTATACATGTCACTTCATAATGTAGATAAAAATTTCTTATGCAAAATCTAATCACTCAAGAACAATTATAAGAAATAGATGTTGGCATATATATATATATATAATTCCTAATGTAACACAAATTAAAAGCACTCTTTATGAAAAATCTAATCACTCATGACCTAAGCTATAGTTATAAAATTTAAGTGATGTATATACAGTATACTATTAAAATAAAATGTTATTTTTAATTAGGAATTATTTCACATCCTTTATATATTAAAGCACAAGTCGTCTATCCAGTCAAATTTTGACACCTAATTTATTTTTTACAAAAAAAAAACAAATAAAAAGATGAAAAAGCTTTAAAGTGGATCTTAATCTTTCAGCAATTCCAAATATCTAACTACTTAACTAATCAAATTACTTTGTTCCAAATATCAAACTAATTTACCAATCAAATAATTAACAAAACAATTGTTAACAAAAAGTTGGCTCTAACAAAAAAATGGGGAATTTGCTAATATAGAACGCATTAGCTAAACATTTGTCCTAATACTCCTTTTTCATTATTTACCAATTTTGGTCCTTTTTATCCTTTATTAATTACTAAAATAATATAGATAAAAACTTTTGACACCTAAAAAAACGAAAATTAAAAGAAAAAATAATATATTATTATTTGATTGGTTTAAAAAAAAATTGGAACAAAAAAAAATCTATAATAATTTTTTTAATAGTTATTCTACATATGTTAGAAGTTACATTCTAGTTTTACGAGAAGCTAGAATATGTGTTCTAGTTTTCTAACTATTTCTATCTAAGGTAGCTTTTGAATTCTGCAAACAATTCATTGATCTAATATAGATAGATTACATTTTCTAGTGAGTGTGATGTATTCTACGTTGTCTTGAATATAAGTTCTAGGTTTCCTTAAGTTTCTAACTTTGGTGGAAATCACTTTCTACGTATCCTTAAAATTCTACCTTACGTAGTATACACTTTCTATCTCTTTCACTATTATCTATATTTTCTAGAACGTGTATTCTACCTAGTCAGTTATCAAAATCCCCAAAATATAGGAGATATAGTAACCGAACGATGTGATCCAAAACTTTTGTTTTCTTTTACGCTTTACACTTTTTCGCCTTCTTCCGTGGTTCTTCTTCTTCTTCTTCTTTCTTCTCCTTCTTCTATATTAATATGGTTCATGTATACACAATCTGTGGTGAATGGATATTGGGTGATAACAGAGGATGGAAGTTTATTGTTGACGAAGAAAAATGTGGTAGATTACTCACTTTGGACTTGAATGCTACGCTTGATGAGCTTAAGACTATGGTTTTAGAAGACTACGAAATGAAGCCTAATGAAAGTGTCAGCCTAAGCTTTCTACCAGGAAACTTGAACAACACGCTAGGATCGCCTCCGGTTCTGGTCTCTAATGATCGCCAAGTCAGAAATTTTGTTACATATATAAGGAAGAATGCAGCGATACAATTGTGTGTGACATTTACAAACAGGATGGGTAGAGTGAGAGTTGTTTTGAGTAAAAAGCGACCCTTTTCAACTACTGGAGAAGACGATAGTAGTATTCCTGGAAAAAAAGATGATGTTGGGACTCCAAATAAGTTTAAACCATCGAAACTTAATGTTGGTCGTTCTGATGATGGTGTTATGTCTGGAAACAAAGAAGAATGCAGCAAGAATATGATTCGTTTTTCGTTGACGGATGCGTTGAAAAAGGATCAGCATTTTCGAAGCAAAGCTCTTTTGAAGTCTACTATGGAGATCTGTGCAATGAAGTATAACTTTGACTACAAGGTTATAAAATCTGATACAAGATTCTGGTATATTCGTTGTGCAGAAACAATATGCAAATGGAGTGTTCGCGCAGAGTGTTTGGAGGGGTCTTCGTATTTTATAATTAACAAGTACGTAGCTGAGCATACATGCTCTCCGTCTAGCAAAAGTAAAATCGCTAGGACAGCTTCAGCAAAAACAATCGGAAATATGATTATGCACAAATTTGATGGCGCAAATGAAGGCCCAAAACCGAAAGATGTGATTCAGTTTATGCGCGCAGATCATGGATGTGAAATCTCTTACTCTTTGGCATGGGATGCACGCGAGTTTGCGATTAATGTAGTGAGAGGAATACCCGAGAAAAGTTACGGTAAAATACCAAACTACTTGCACATGCTAAAGGCAGCCAATCCAGGTACACATACACATTATGAAACAGACTCGAAGGGTAGATTCAAGTATCTGTTTGTTGCTTTTGGTCAATCTGTAAGAGGGTTTTACAAAGCGGTTCGTAGGGTCATAGTTGTGGATGGAACCTTTTTGAAGAATAAGTACAAAGGTGTACTTCTTGTTGCTACAGCTTTGGATGGTAACTCTAATGTGTATCCAATTGCGTTTGGAGTTGTTGACTCAGAGAATGACTGTGCGTGGGAGTGGTTCTTCAGACAGTTGAAGGTTGTAATAGTTGACGAGCATGGTTTGGCATTTGTGTCTGATAGACAATCCTCAATTGTAAAATCGTTGGAAACAGTTTACCCACGAGCTACTCATGGTATTTGCATACATCATCTCTTGAATAATGTGGTAACTTATTGTAAGGGAAAAGGTTTAGCTGGATTGATTGCCAAGGCTTCTAAAGCATATAGAGTAAGCGATTTTCAGAAGAGATTCACTACTATTTGTAGTATTAGTCCAGACACTGGAAAATATCTCATCAAGGCTGATGTGAGAAAATGGGCAAGATGTCTATTTCCTGGTTACAGGTACGACATTAGGACGAATAGCCCTGCTGAGTCGATAAACTCTGCATTGCGAACACCTAGAGAGTACCCAGTCATTCCATTATTAGACAGCATCAGAGAAATGTTAACTAGGTGGTTCTATGAACGGAGAACACTTAGCGGCAACCATGTACACCCTTTAACAGCTGATGTGGAGAGAAAAATTGATAGGAGGATTGAGAAGGGTAAATCATTCCTTGTTTTTCCGATTACCCATACCAGATTTCAGGTTAGAGGAGACGAATTTGACTGCATAGTAGATTTGGAGAAGAGATCGTGTTCATGTGGCAAATATGATCTACTTAAAATTCCATGCAGACATGCTATTAAAGCGGGTTTTACTGTAGGTAAGAAACCACACACACTCACAGATGCAATGTATACTACTACATTATGGAGATCAGCTTATGAAGAAAGCATTAATCCCGTAGCAGTTCCTGAAGATTCATGGTGTGTGCCCTTGGAGGTTAAACATTTACTTGTTCTTCCACCTGAAACAAGGAGAGCAGCTGGTAGGCAACGAAAAAAAAGGTATGAATCTGTTGAAGACAAGATACGGTCACAGGGATCTCAAGGGTCAAAGAGACATAAGTGTAGCCGCTGTGGTATTGATGGACACAATAGAGTGACATGTAATAGACCAATATAGACATGGATTTTATGTATGTTTATTGGTTGGCTTAGACATTTTTTTTAGCTTGATGTTTATTTTGGACATGGTGTTATTCTGAGGTTTTAAGTTGGTATTTACAATATCTAGAGAAAAGTTTGTACGTAATATTCTCGGTTCAATTTCCTAGTTATTTAGTTTCTTGGGATCCAAGAATTATATTTTTTCTCAACACTGAAATATGTATGCTAATGACTTCTCTTGCGTTGTTAAATCTTTGTTTTGTTATTATGAATAAAAGATGAGAAATCATTTTTTGGTTAAATGAGTGTATTTGTTTGATTATTTGAACCGTATACCACATTCCTTGTTTGATTATTCAGTGTATTCCAACCACAAAATGGAGATTAAAACCAACACAATTGATAAGAATCATGTTTTTGCAAGTACCAAATAAGTGCTAAACGAAAACAAAATTACAAGAATCAGATAAAATGTCAACCAATATACACAACATCAGACTCATTGTGTTGTGGAGAAGTATACAAAGCCCTTCTTTCGATTAAAACAGGATCATAAGCTGCTACGAATAGATCAACTGCCATTTTGTAACGAGCAGCTAGAATGTTCTCGTCGTCCATAAGAGATAAGTCCATGCCCAACAAGTGACACTCAATGTGCTTCAGAGCATACACTCCGCAGTCGCCAAAGCTACTATTAATGCCCAGCTTCATCGGCAAGTAGGAGACTTCATATTGAACAACTTTTTGTTGTTTCTTGTTTCCAGTTTTCTGAACGGCTTTTACGATGCGAGGAATGATGACTGCAAAGGCCATCTCCATGTCGTACTTCTTCCCTAAACAATCGAAGACTTCAATTGTTCGAAGACTGAAAGTGATGCACAAAGAAATCCAGTGGTTACCACTAACAAAAACAGGAACGTAGACTCGGTCAATGTCTACATCCCATACTTTTCCGTTTCTGCCAAACAATGGAAGCTCTCCTTTCCCATATTCCAGAAACCAACTGTCCAGTTTGAATTTTCTCTTATCCGCTAGATACTTTTGGTATGCACTTCTAATTCGAGCACTGAACAAGCAGCTCATAAATGCAACACGATCTGGCTTCCACCTGTGCAAATGTGTGTTTTCTCGGAAAAGATACATAACTGCATCCATCTCCTGTGAACATTGATAATGTCATTAGTGCATATAAATTTCATTACTTAAGTGAACTTTGTCTTATAAATCTCTCACCGGATTATGCAACCATTTACCAAGTCCCAAAATCCGAGTTGCCATTGTGTAACTAAACACACTAGGACCAATAGGAACATCTCTGTAGTTAAATAAAAAATATTAGTATAAGAAAACATGGAAAAAAAAAGTGAAATAAATATAAATTTTATTATACTTACGTTGGAGACATTGACCAATTCTGAAATTTTGTCCATTCTTCTTGACTGAAGTGTACCAAAGAAGAATCTGGTAAATTTGCACAGCGTGGATCATTGTCATCATCGGTCAAGTGTGGGGTTTTATTGAGAAAAGACTGGAAGGAAGTAAGTGGAGTACAGAACTCTAGCGGATCTTTGTCTGGTGACTCTTGCTTTGGATCAAATCTTTTAACTACAGAGTCTTGCGCGAGCTGATCCAATGTTTTACGCAAGTATTCTTGTGTCTCTAACTCCAAATCAATGTTTGAATTGAATGCCATATCAACGTCATGCAGATTTGAGAAATTAAAATCGAATCCAACTTTGCTTTCATCCTGTTACATTTCAAAGAAAGAAATGACACTTAAAAAGGAAGTTCACAATCCTGACTTTGCTAACAAAAATTACATTAGACACACTGTTTGAAGCAAAAAAAAAAGAAAAAAAAATCATTCCAGTTCTCACACGACAGAAAAGTATTATAAGTTACATTCCATAACAAATTTTACAAGACAAAATTATATATTACATTACGTAGCCGGTTTCCACAAGACAAAAGATATTACATCTTACATTCTATTACAAATTTTCACAAGGCAAAAAAGTTCATATTTTACAAACCATATCCAATTTTCACAAGACAAAACAAGATCATATTTTAAATTCCATAACCTGTTTTCACAAGATAAACGATGATATCTTAGAATAGAACTTTTTTACGAGTACTTACTTTTCTTTTTGGCTTTAAAGGAATGGAAGTAGGCGGTTTAGATGTGTTGGAAGGCTCTCCATCATTCTTTTGAAAAGTAACAAGCTTTACTGATTCTTTTAGTTGAGATATATCATTCTCCAATTTCACAAATCGCTCATCCATCTTCTCTTCAAATAAAGTGAATGAACTCTGAATCAATCCTTTTAAAAAACTCTTCATGTCTGAATCAAAAGTCCCTTGTGTTGCTGCAAACCTTTGGCATAACACCTTCTTCTTTCGAGTTTCTGCACCTACATCTGAAAACTTCTTCTTTTTCTTTACATAACCTGAACTTGAACTAACTCCAGCATTTGGAGTCATGAATTCCTCAGCGTCATCATCATTATCTCCACTCGCTATGTCGGCAGCAACTTCACCAATCGGTTCAGCAGTTTCTTCTAAGAAGTTCCAATTCATGTTGATCCATTTATATCCATTTTTAATCATCTCAGCTATAAGATCCACTCTCTCATCCTTTTTTTCATCCATCCTTAAGAAACCAGCTGACTCGAGAATGTCATAACTTCCAACAGAAGAGATATATGGAAACAATTTGCACTGCAAAATAAATGAGAAAATGTCAATATTTTCAGCAAAAATTATAGAAAAAAAAATCAAAAATGAAATAAACTACTTACATCAGACCCAAATGAAGCTTCTAGAGTATTAATCTCTGAATATGAAACCTTTGCCGCGCCTACCCAATTGCTACAGCAAGGTCCAGTAAACTCTGGATTGAGCTTCTTTTCTAACATTTCCCCTAACAATGGAATAGCTTCCATTATCCATATTTGCAAGGCATATGAAAAGCCATCCAAAACGTAGCTGCTCTTCTGTTTCATTTCTTCTCTAGCTTTAATGGCCGATTTAACTAGCTCATCAAAAGCTTCTCGACCCCATGGATACCTCCGTAGCTTATCAATATCCATAACCATTTTAATGTAAGAGTGGGGGATATTACCATTCTCATTCTTCGCAATCAACACACCAGCAATCAAACACACATAGATTAACCTCACCCTATCCATATAAGTCCACTTGTGAACATGTTTTAAGTGTTTCTTCTTTATCATGTTCAAGGAAATGTTCTCGCGTGTCCTTAGCAGCTTACTCCAGAAACCCATATCATCTTTCCATTTGTCCAAGTCAAAAATCTCCTCCTCTTTGAACTTTAACCCAGTAACAGCATGGAACTCTTGTTCGGAGAAGCGCAATGGTATCTTCGCAAAAAAAAACCACAGCTCATGTAGCTTAGATGTTACAAGCTGTCTAGACAAGAAACTGTGGATCAGTGTCCCTGAATATCCTAGCTCATTTTCACTAATGGCCAGAACATGACTGAAAACATGGTCTCTCTTCACTTCCTCATACTCCACTGGCAAGAGTTCTTGCAATATCTGCATAATTGACATTCTGCAACGGTTGTTGATTTTCTTGACTTGCGGTTCTGATCCAGCTTTGAACATACGTTTAGGCAGTGCTAAATCCATACCTACAAGTAATGTAACCAATAAAAAATTTATATATTGACATCAACCGAAGAAAAAACCAGACATGACGAATATGTTATGTACAATTCAGACATATGTACCATTCTTCTCCAGATATACAACAAATTAACAAGCTTTAACTCAGATAATAAGGCAGAATCATAACTAGCTTATTAATGTATATAGGAGAGAAATCTAGAGTTACACAAAGTTCAGCCAATAAACAACAAAGACCAACAAGCAAAAGTATACTGTGGACGATCTTAAAAGGGTAGCAAAACATGGACCTTGAAAAGATGGAGTTGTCGTGAAAGAGCACTCAAACAACAAGAGAACTAAAATGGGATAAGCTACTAATGAATTGAATCGACCGAGCAGTACATATATAAACTCCCTTTGTCAAAACTGGGGAACACGAATTCAGTTTCTGAAAAAATAATGTAAAGCGTACCAAAGACCTTGTGAACAAAGAAATCAAAGAGGAGGAGATAAAAGCTTGAAAACAGATAAAAACCTGAAGACAACGACAGACAAAGGAAAGGAAAGTAGAACCGTCGGCGATTTCACTCGGCTGAGAATCACCAGAGTCTCATGGGGTTAGGGCTCATGAAGAAGAAGAAAGGGGAAAAAGGATCTGTCGAGGGATTAAGAATTTAGGGATTTTGACTTCTTTTAATTTATTTCTGTTAAACTTTATTAAAATTTCAATTTAAATAAATAATTAAAGGTTACAATTGGATTAACGGAGACTATAGTAGTATTAGGACGTTTATCACGAGGGGAAATCCTATTGCGACAAAAACTTGTCAATTTCGTCCCATTTTAGCAAATTTTCCAAAAAAACTCATTCAATCTTTTAATTTTTAAATCCCACAACTATAACTTCCAAGTCATGGCATGGTTTCAACCGATTTCACCTTTTATTTTTATTTTTTTAACAACAACTACATCTTTATTAAATAGTAAAAGGTTGATACAAATAATCCCTTAACCAAAACGGTGGGATATCTTCAACCGATTTCACCTTTTATATATATAATTTTCAACCAGTCCGTTTTTTTTCTTTATTTTTCTTTTCCTCTTTCTTCTTCTCTATCGATTTTATCTTCTTCACCAAATTTTTTTTACAGTTCGTCATTGTACAGAAAAAATACATACAGATTTGTTACTTTTCTACTCATATTCATATTACTATTTTCCTCATATTACTTTGGTGTGATATTAGTGTGATTTAGACAGGAGATGTCACTGGAGTATATGGATGTTTCAGAACTTCATTTTTCAGAAAATGGAAAATCAGAGCATCGTTTGGAAATGAGGTAACAATAAGTACATTCAACTCTATTATATAAAGAACTAGGGTAAACCCGCCCTACGGGCGGGAATCAAATAAAAAATAAAATAAAAATATTTGAAATTTTTATTTATAACTAAAATAATTTAACCCTTAATAAGAGTGATTATTCGTTTTTGTTGTTTTTGAATGGAATTATAATTCTATATAACTGATAATTTTTTTAAAAAAATGTAACTATTTTCACTGAAATATTTGTTTTAACTTAATTAGATAATTAAGTAATTAAGTTATCAGAAATTATGAATTATGGAATTATTTATCTCTATTATACATTTATACTTGTTTTATAATTAGGGGTAACCACTTCGGTTATTTATCGATTCAGTTTGGGTTTGATTCAGTTTGGTTAAATTAGTTGTAGGATTTTCCCAACTGATGTAATCATAATTATTTTGGTTTGGATCAGTTTCGGTTTAGTTTGTATTCGGCTTGGTTTATGTTTTGATTCGGTTTAATAGGATTTTCTTTTAGTTCTTTGAAAAGAAATCATCATGTTGGTGACTATGAAAAAAAGTAAACTATGTAAAATTAATCCAATATAAAACTGAAACAAAAACATTTAAAGCAGAAACAATTATTAGAATATACTTAAATGAAAGTTAATTAAAGTAAATAGAAAATTACAAAAAACCTTGTTAATAATATCTTTTAAAAATAAACTATGTAAATTAAATTTAATATATAAGTGAAAAAACTTTAAATCCCACAAAAAATTATAACAACACAAACAAACTAAGTTAATAAAAAATCAGAAATTTGTAAAAAATCCCAATATCGTTAATAAAATTAATGGTGACTTTAGTCTTAGGATTTTAGTATATTGTATATTGCTAGTTTGTTTAATTCAAATAATTACAAAACACACTAATTTCTCAGTTCGATATAACTCGGTTTGGTTGGTCCGGGTTGGAAAAATCTTAAAACCAACTATTTGATGATAGACTTTACTCTTTAGTTTAGTTTGATCGGTTTCTGTTCGGTTTGGTTTTTTTTCCCCACTCCTATTTATAATCCATTGATAATTGGTCAAATGTGGTTAGTTATATTTTGTGCTATAATAATGGGTTTGTGAATCTTATGATTATTATTTGTATGAATGACTTGGACTGTTGGGATTTTCGTAACGGTTTATGATAACCTACACATTACAGTGAATAGTTGAGTAAATAATTTAAATTGTAACGTTATATACGTAACTGTTTTTATAGTTAAAGCAAGAGTTTCACATAATAGTTGAATGTTGTTAATACAGTGCATATATACCAATATCACAGTCAGTAGAATGTTAACGCTGCATATAGTAACTGGAACTTAATAATTAAATTACGTGTGTTAAATAAACCAAATAAAACAAAGACTCAAAAAATAAAGATCATCTGAAGGTTGATATATAAACTAATTCAAACTGAGACATATTTTATAAAAAAGATCATCTGAACCAAACACACTTACCCAGTAAACATAGAAAAACTTGTTCAAAATGTTATTGCTGTATAGAGTAACTAAATGTTATTGCTGCATAGAGTAACTGGAACTTAATAATTAGATTACTGTGTTATATCCCAAATAAAACAAAAACATTTTATAAAGATCGTCTGAAGATTAATATTTAACTAATTCAAACTGAAACATGTATAGAGATCATCTGAAGCAACACATAGATTACCCAATAGACAAAGAAAAACTTGTTGAAAACATTTAAAAAAAAACGATGTATAAGCATATTGAAATAGGAAATACAGCGAACAGAGCTCTCATTAACTTGACCTATGCAAGCCTTATGTGCCCTCTTCACAATCTTGGAAGATCCTTCCGACTGATGAGTTGGCACCATGATTATCATCCCCATCCTTGCTCCCTGGTCAAACCGGACGACATAAATTTTTGCATCCTAAGAATTGTAAGGCATTCTGTCAAATCACAGAGAATAAGTTAATACCTCCAACTATTTTTTGGGTTAATGCTGGTTGCAACAACCACCCTCAGATCACCACCTATCGCTTCAAGCTTTGTATAGAACTTCACAGCTTGTGAGTCGAAAAACTCAAAGTCACAAACACATCACTACCAGTATAAAACAGATTGTAAAGTGCTCAACATGCAATTGTCATTATAACTGATGATCCATCAGATAAGCAAACCTTGAAGGGCTGAATATGATTAATGACTTACCTATCCATTTTGATGGTCACCATCACAAAGTTTTTGGCTTATGGAGGGTCAGTGACAGTATCCCTCACAGCAATTATCTCACCAATAATATATGTCGGAGGAGG